GGGGGCAGGGTCTGTGGGCACCGAGGACCACTCACAGGCCATGTGCCAGGATGGTTCCTGCTCCTCCATGCAATGGCACCATCGCTCCTCCCGCCCAGGGTTAGGGTGTGGCCCGACGGGTGGTATGTAGATATGCACACAGGGAACGTGTGCAGGGCACAGGACCTGCTGCGCTGTAGGGACAAACAGACACCCTTTCCTCCTCGTCCCTCTCCACGTATAAATCCCCGAGGCCACCGGGGACCAGTCTGTTCTCAGATTAGGCCTCCAGAGAGCCGTTCCCGATCTGCACATCACAAGAGGTTTGGTACGAATTCTACCAAAGTGTGGGACTTGTTCACTTCTTAGGATCTCATAGTAACGTAGCTCACCCTGGCTGTCCCTGTAATTAGCTGCTCCTCTGACTCGCATTTCTATATGCTTGGCTGGGAACCGGGCGGGGTCACAGCTCGGGCAGAGGGGCGTTCCCATAACCAGAGGCCCGTTTTACCGCTCCCTGGGCGCTTTGGAGGCGATGCACACCTGGCAGGGGAACCGAGGCTCAGAGCCGCGGCCTCAGGGTGCCGAGAGCATCTTAACTGTGCTCAACACTTAGCTCCTCTCCTGGGCTCTTTCCCAGGGTGTGTTCCACGGGACACTAGTTCCCCCAGCATGGACTTTAGGAGACTGCCAGCTCTGAGCACCTCTCAGAAAATCCAAGTGGCCTTTAGGGTATTCAAGGATCTGATAAGTCCTGCAGCAAAGAGACCAGTTTGACTTGGTTCAACCCAGTGTTTTTGACCGTGGAGTCAGTCTGTGTGTGCGTGCACATGTGCGGGGGTGTGTGCTTAGCTGTAGCACTATTACCAAGCAGACCAAGTTGTCTGGGAATTTCAGTGGAGATAATATCCCCAGTTCCCAGGCCAACACACAAGCCTGAGGCTTGCTCTCAGGAGGCCAGAGAGAGTGCGTAGATACAGAGGAGGCGAGATGGAGGCCTCTATTTGCTCTGGAGAGAAGGAAGGGCCTCGAAAGGGGCCCCTACCCCAGCCATGCGGGAAAGAGAACCACAGAGAAGAAAGAAGGGTGTTCAAAATTCACAGGCCCAGATTCATGGCTCCGTGGTTGACCGTATTTGTGTTCCCTTATTGGGCTGAGAGGTTTGTGTGTGGCAGCTGGGGGAGGCCAGGCAGAGGAGGGAGAGGCTGTTAGGGTGAGGAGCAGGCAGGGTCGAGTGGGGGTACCTGGGCCCTGGCCCACCACCAGCAGCAGGAGCCCACTGGCCAGCAGCCCCACCAGCAGGCTGAGGCCTAAGAGCCTGGTAAAGTCATCACTCAGGTGTGGCTCTGAGCCTGGCGGTGACTGCAGCATTGGGCTCTGTTCTGCTCCAGACACGTAAGGACGCATAGAAACCAGCCCGGGCCGCCTCCCCCTCTTTCCCCCGTTGAC